ACACTAGTTTCTAATTCTTGATGTAGAATTTGTTAATAGTTTAGGTTAGGTAGATTCTAACACTAACTTTGATTTAGGTGTTGTAACATAAACTAACAATTAGGTTAGTTTAGGCCTAATCTTTGATTTTCAATATTTACTACATGTTTCCAATTATTTTTGGTTGATGATCATTGATATTTTTTTGCATTTGAAATGCATTTTTTGCATATGATCTCAAGTTACTAATTCTTGACATAATCTAATCTTTTACCAATTTTTGGTTGATTACTTGTTGCTTTCCATTTCAATAAATTGAGATGATTTCTAATAGACTCAAATGTCATTGCTAAACATTTTTGAAGTAAGTTTGATTGAGTTTGATAGAAAATATTTCAATACTTGGTAAATGGCAAAGTTTGACATAATTGGTGTTTTTGCTCTAACTTTTGATTCGTATTGAGTTTTTCCGACTTTCTTTAATGAAAACCGATTTTCTTGAGCCATCCGGAATCTCTCACGTGAGTATTTTTTTGATTCGGACAAATTTCTGTTTTTCTGCTACTGTAGCAGTTACGAAAATCATATTTCGGAATGGAATTTGGCCGAACCGAGTTAACTTTTGGAACCGTTGACATGTTTGTATTCCGCCTTAATTTTTGCGGTTGATTTCAGATGCTTTTCGATTAATTTTCTAACTTTTTGATTCAAGTTTTTTGCACATTATCTTGTATTTCATTGTTGAATTGTGATACTTTTTGTGTGTTAACTCTTACTTTGATGTCAAGTAATATCATTTGGTTTTAACTAATTGTTTGAGAACTTTGTGAATTTAGCGTATCGGAATACATTTTGATTCACAACTTTTGTGTTTGGCAAATTGTGAGTTGATTCTTATTCATCACACTTTTGGCATAAATACATAAACTCATGAATTGGAGTTAATTTGCAATTTGTTGATTAAATTCCGATACATTAAATTCATGTGGTTTTAAGACTTTAATTCTTGATTTTTAGATCAATCTTGAGGTTACATGTTCATGTGCAAGTTCCGGATAACCCTCTCATGCTAATTATCAAGATTAATGTACTAAAACTTTGATTTCCAAATCGATTCGTGATGAATTTCAAAATATGCGTAATGCTGTCCGGAACTTGTATTTCGCATGTGCATTGAGTTTTTATTTGTGAATATGCATTGTTATACTTAGTTGAGCATTTCTTCGATATCGATAGCAAGTTTGGATGTTTCTAAACCGGTTTTCCCACCTATTTTCATGAGTACGAGGTTGCTGTCCGGAATGCTATGTTATGCTCCCTTTGACTTGTTTGATTTGTCTTGTACATATTCATACTTCATTTTTGTGCATATTATTAATTGTCATTATCACATTTGATTTTGTTGTTATCTACTAACAAATTTTGTGAGATGTGCATACTTTAAGAAGCAATTGGGATACCATTCTCTTTGGTGACAGATACGCTTTGATTGCATATGTTGTTCACGCTTCTGACGCTATTTTTTGTTGATGCTAGTTTGCGGTGCCCTCCGAGCTTTCGCCATGCTTTGACTTGGTTTTTGCGGATTTTTATTATCCATTTAGTATGGTTTCAGGCCATTTGTTGTAATATTACATTTATCACTTTCTAGAAATCATGTGAAGTAGGAAGCAGAAAATAAAGAGCGTGCGCTCGAAGTCGCTGTTTAAAGACCTGTACCAGGCATTCCGCACTTCATTTTCTATGTGTTGTGCTTGTGTTTGTTTATTTTCCTGTTGATCGATGAGTCACTCAATTTAGAAATTGAGATCACGACTTCGCTCTCAGTGCATGTTCCCTATAGGATTTCATCTCTTTCCTTTATTTCTTGTTGATCGATGAGTCACTCAATTTAGAAACTGAGATCACGACTTCGCTCTCATTGCATGTTCCCTATAGGATAGTTTTGTTAGACTTTCTTAGGTAATGTTAGTTTAGATAGGATCTATCCAGGTGTGCTCTCTTGAGATTATTTTCCTGTTTGATTTCATCTTTGTGTACATGTATTGAGATGATATACCCTCGGCATGTTCCCTTAGGGGCTCTCAATTCAACTATAGATGATGATTCGAGATAGACATAGTTTTAGGTGATAGAACCTTGCTATGCTCCTTTAGGACTTCTTGATCCATCTATAGATGATGATTTGAGATAGACATTAGGGTTGTTATCCAAGCATGTCAACATAGAGTAGATATTTCCCTTCAAAACTCAATCTTAGGATCAATCATTGTATGATAACATTAGGGATAGATTTAGACTAGTCTCCCTTAGATGTTTTTCTTTCTTTTGCATCCATGCATTAAAACTAAAACTTTTTTCTTGAAAAAAATATTAAAACATCTAACAACTTCCAAATACTTCTTCAAGGTAAAAGATATCAACCAATGCAAACTCTTTTGCGCCTTCGGGCTTTTCTTTCAAACTCTTTTCAGAAAGAACATGTTAATTCACTTCTGTGCTGGCGCATAAATCTCCAAAGGTCGAGTTGCGGCAGAAGGCGAAATTAATATTGTTCATTAAAAAATACAAACCAACAAAAACATGTCAGCCGAACTACGGTAGCTCTGATTCCTCAAAAAGGATACGTAGGCATTGGGGTAGGGCCCAGACGAGCACAATTTTATTTTCCCTACATTCTTTTTCCCCTTTCTTTTGCATGCATTCTCCCTTTAGCAGTATAGTAGACAATAAGTATAGATTAAACACACCCATAAGATAGATAACAAGAGTGGATACCATAGAGTACTAGGGCGTGTGGGGTGCTAATACCTTCCCTTCGCGTAACAAACTCCCTTACCCGATCTATCGGTCGCAAGACCGTGACTTCTCCCTTCTCAGGTTTTCTCGATGTTTACCTTTCCCTACATGTGGGATAAAAGACGTTCGATGGCGACTTCATTGTTTTGATGATTTTCAGCCGGTTCTTTCAACCTTCAGTAAACATTGGTATTATTCTTTGTATCCTACCTTTAGTGGAAGTTGGTAGTTCACCTTCAGTAAACGTTGGTGTTATTCTTTGATTTCTACCTTCAATGGAAGTTGGTAGTTCACCTTCAGTAAACGTCGGTGTATCTTTTGTTTCTTTACCTTCAATAAAAGTCGGTATTATTCTATGTTTTTTCTAACTTCATCCTTGAGTTGGTAGTTTATCGTCATTTTTAGTCGGCATTTATCTTTTTCTCCTCATTGGACCTTACTCCAATAGAGTTGAGTTATTCCCAGCCATAAGTGCTGATGTCAAACCTTGTTTTGAGCCATAAGTGCTGACGTCAAATCTTTATTACCAGTCATAAATACTGATACCAATCACTCATTTACTAGTCTCAATGTTGATGTCTACCATCATCTCTGAGCCGATATTATCTTACCATTTCTATTTGTGCCCCTTCGGGTTAGCAGTTGACAATCCCCAATGAGTTGATGTTACTCTCTTTTTGCTATCTCCTCTATGAGTGGATAGTTCACAGTTATCAGTTAATCATTGTTATCCATTACTTTTTCCTCAATTATCGAGTGAATGTTATTGTGTCTCCTCTCTGGACTTTACCCCAATAAAGTTGAGTTTTCTCTTCCCCAACAGAGTAGATTTGTCTCCAATGGATTCAAATTTCTATCCCTAGAGTTGTGTTGTCCTCCAGAGATTTATTTTCCTGGTCAAACTCTTTTCCTTAGTCTATTGCTTTTACTTTTGCTTCTCTAGTGTGCCTTTTCACCTGCATGAAGTTTATATTTTACATCCATAATTATAAGCATCACATGGCATCTTAGGGCCAAAAATAAGGTTTGTTTTATATTTAAGTATCTTCAATCGCGTCAAGACGAAGATTTTAACCTTCGTATCTCCGGATAGAAGACACTTAAATAAGGGCAACTGTTATACCTCAATTTTTCCACTAAGATCCCTCATCACATCATATATATCTCATGCAGGTCATCGATTTCATGGTTACGGGATCAAAGGGCTCTTGGCATTAGGGTATTTCCCTATGAATTGAGATTGCTACCTTTTTCAACTTGATTCAACGAATTCATTCATCCTTGGTCCGAGTCTCATCTAAAGCGGGTTAGGGTTTCACGTACATGCTCGTGAGAACTTCTTTCTTATCTTTACTCAAGCTACAAAGTTATCTCGAGATGTGTTCGGAGCAAATGGATTATGGTTTCCTTATCTATGGGGGGTTTCAGTTTGATAATGACCAATATTTGAAGATCAAGAGGAATATGGCTTCATTACAAAGTATTTCTTGGGCATACTCTTGGCCTTGGTTTTATATTCATTTTCAAGGTTTCCCTCAAGGCATTTGTTCATAGAACACTGATCATCCAACTAAAATATCTTATGGGTCGAACTGCAAGGTATTAGGCCATGTCATCAAGGATGAAGTTGTGAGTTTGTTGAGCCCATGACATCACCATTTATTCAAAAAAAAATTGTTGCTTCAATTGCAAGATATCTGGGATTTAAGAAGAAATGACAATTAATTTGGATTCATAGAAACTCCTAATTGTGCTCAAGATTAGTATTGATTCAAGGTGTTAAATGGTGGATTCAAGCACGAATGGAAAGTCCATTCATGGATAATTTCTTGAATTCAAATCCGATTACTATAAGGAATTATTCGTTTAAACTCGAAAGTTAGGAAAAAATATCATCTCATTATCACTTTCAAAAGGGGAAACTATGCGAAGTTATAATCAAGTTGGAAAAACAAAGAAACTTGGAAGGTCTAAGAGTAATTTGAAGAGAGTGGTATTTTGAAGAATGTGTGTCCTTTAAAGCCAAAATCTAAACATCGTCCATTACTAAGTCAAGACCTCATTCAAAATTACAGAATTCTATTCATCTTCATGACATGTTTACATTAATGATTGGTTTCTCAAATATCAATGTCGTTCCTCTTCAAGGTTACAACACTCAAAAAAATAAAATAAAAGAAACAAGTTTCATCCACGGCCAGGAAGTTGCATAACTTTTCCAAATGCTGTTTATGTTGTTTTTTATGATTAAAAAGAAGTACAAGACATTGCCAAAAATTAGGAATGGAAAGTTACAAATGGAATTACAAGTTCTTGAATTGTTAACCATTGATCAGAATTCGACCGTTAGCTCAAAGTTTCGACAACCTATTCCACTTCAGCTCCAATCTGATCTTTATCACTGCCTCATGTCGTGTTAAATATCATGTTTCAAAAACATCATGCTCAAATTCTCAAGCTTGATCCCTCATGTTTCTATGCTTCATGTTCTCTAACATTTCGCAAGCGTGGCCTTCAGAAAACCTGCATTCAACCAAACAAACGATTCACGAGCTGTTCGAATAAGCCATCCTTGTATTCGTGAGTTAACATCACCAAAAGTTCGTACCGTCCGATGATTAATCAGAGGAGTCTCGCGTTTCTTGTGACATTCAAAATCATGCGCTGCTGCAACCTTTTAAAACCATATGCAGCCCTGCATTAGTGTGGAATCAGTTCAGGGAATTCAAAAATAATAATAATAACAGTTTAGAATCAAACTCAAATGGAAAATCAATTTATCATAAAATAGAAAATTCCAATCGCATTTTAATTCTGACTGGTAATTAATCGAAAAAATAGTTACAATGGAATCGACCAGCTTATGCTAACTAACCTAACCTTTTCTCACCCTGTAAATTAATAGAGTCATAACGGGAAAAGAGACAAAGTTCATAACAGATTTTGAACAATCCCTAACTGTCATAAAACAGAATGTCCAAGCTAACTGCAAAGGGAATAACATAAAATCACAAGGCAAGACAGACTGAATCTCGACGGTTCGTTGCTATAAGGGAGGTTGAGAATTAAAGGCCCAAATCGATTCTTATGTAACTAACTTTTACGATTATAACAGAAAAAAAATAGAATTTGGGGAACGATTCATTCTACAGAAAATTCAGAGAATCACCAATTTCCTCTCCTCTGAGATTTCCTATATAACCTCTCAACACTCTCTCTTTCATCTTCACACCACTGCAAGCTTCAAAGATTTTCCAAACTTCATCTGCAACAAACAATAATTTCTTTGCTTCATCATCATCATCATCATCATCATCATCAATTTCACTTTGCGGAAACTGGTTATTTAAACATCAACACAAACGAAACAACAATGCAAAAGCAGAAGAAGAAAAATAGAGAAGAAGAAGTATTACCTCTGTATTAATCATTTTCGTCACTTTGAAGAGTCACCAGAGCTACTCCGGTAGGTAATCTCGAATCTCCATTTACCGTAACTTTCGTTCTTGATTTTATGATGTTGTGATTGTTGTGTGAACCTCTGTGAACGAAAATATTGAGATTAGGAAGCCGCGCCGCATCTCAAATGCATATCAGGTCGTAGTTCCATTGTTTGAATTGGTTGGAACGCGACAAATCCGCGAGGAAAAGCTATCAAAAGTGAAGCGAGCAAATCGAAGCCACATGAAGGTTGAACCAATCAAATTGAAGATGAAGATGAGGATAATTCATGAACAGAAGAAGACAGACGCACATTGTTTCGAATGGCATTGGCACGACGGTTTGCAATCAGAGAACGATGATGATGATGATAGGCGGAGATCAAAGCACATCAAGGAGGAGGTTGAGCCGAAGAAGGCGAGGTCGAGGAATCATGCGGCGCTGAAGTCGGCAGAAAGAATGAAGAAGGTTGTAGTTTGCCTCAGCGGATCAAAGATTGAGAGGAGCAGAATCACCGTTGTTGTTCTCTATCGAAGAAGAAGAGCTTTGTTCATAGAAGTCCAAATGTCACAACTAAATCCTATCCTTCTTAAAACGAAGCGTTTTTCATATGGTTTTTCCATTTTTATTTATTTATTTTATTTGTTCTATTTATTTTTATAATAAATAATAACACAAATAAATGTTAAAATCTTGTAGGAGATGGGACTTAGTTGAGTGGATTTGATGTTCCTGGACCAAAATCGTCGGGCCCTCGCTGCCTGCACCCCTAAGGCCCATTTTGATTCTTTTTTTTTTGCCTGAAGTTATTGAACGAAAAAAAACGTTTCTGGACCCCAGCTGATTTGGGCTGAGAAAAATTCCTGAACCATACCCCTAGACCTGGCTCACACCCCATCCCGAGCCTAATAATTGGTTTTTTGGCTGAAGTGAGTAGTTATTGTTGGACATGTGTTAGTGGACTGGGCTTGAATCGAAATTGCTCCAATATACCCCCAGCTGCAGTTTAGCACCCCCTGACTCTTTCTAATTTCTTTAGTTTTAAATTTTATTTTTTAGTTTAATTTTTTTTTTAATAATAAAAATAATAATTGAATATATGATAAAAACAAAAAAATATATATAGAGTCGGTTACTTGAGACCCGCGATTCACCTTCGCTTATTGAGATGAGTCTTATGCAGGTTCATTGTTGCTATGCAGACATGCTTGAGTTTTCGATTGTGATTTATTTTCACATTGATGATGCTTCGACACTTGTTCCGAGCATTTGATCTCTGACTGTTTGTTTGTTGATGCCAGCTCGCGCGAAGTATTATGGGTTTCTTTGCTTTGGCTGTGCTTTTTGCGGACATTCTTGTTCGTCTGGTATTATACTGCTTCCAATTTATCTTTCCTCATTTTATTGCTTTCTAGACATCATGTGAAGTAGGAAATAAAGAGCGTGCGCTCAAAGTCGCTGTTTAAAGTCCTGTAGCGGGCACTATTTTCTGTATGCTATTTGTGTTTGTTTAAAATCCTATCTTTGAAATAGGTATTCCGCAAATGTGTTTACATCTGCCCCCACATTATATTACAAATGATAAATCCTCAAAAGGAGGCGAGTGGGGAGGGTTTGTAATCGACCCCGCACATTCTAGTCTGTTTCATCCTTAGCTCACGTTGTACATCGATGTTTCGGAGTTGTGCAGATCTTGTGCATTGAGTCGGTCATGTGGAGAAGGGTTAGCAACCAACCCCTACACTTTGTCATGAATTCGCAATGGCCATTGCTGAACTTCGCTACCCGTTTGTTTGCTTCAGGTGATCCACTCCGCTTAGCTAAAGCATTGCTTTTCTTTTTTTTATTTCATTTGTCTCCCGCTTGTTTGCTTCGGGTGATCCGCTCCCCTTAGCTAAAGCATTGCTTTTCCTTTTTTATTTCATCTGTCTCCCACTTGTTTGCTTCGGGTGATCCGCTCCCCTTAGCTAAAGCATTTATCTTGTTTCCCCCATCCCTTTGAGTCAGTATGTGCTACTAATGTTTGTGTGCTTTTGCCAAAGCACTTGTTTGCCTATTTGTTTGCTATACCATGTTCCCTTAGAATAAGAATTTGTACGCTTCCCTTAGGACCGCTCTGTTAGAGTGGATTTTGAACTAGACATTAGGATAGTTATCCATGCACACTAACATATGGTAGAGATTTCCTTTTCCATCCTTGACATAGGGCCATCATTGTATGATAACACTGGGTTAGAGATAAATTAACCTTCCTTAGATGTTTTCTTCCCAGTTTTGCATATTTACATTTAAAATTAAAACTTTTTTTTCTGGGCAAAATGTATAAAGCATGCTAAACATATAAAAATCCATTTCATGGTAAAAAACACCAACCAATCCATTTATTTTCTCCATTTGACTTTTCTCTTCTAAGAACGTGTTGATTCCTTTCTGCTATAGTGCGTGAGTCTCCAATGGCCGAGCAGCGGTGGAATGATTGAGTTTAACATTGTTCATTTAAAAAACACAAACAAACAGAAACATGTGAGTCGAACTACATCGATCTGATTCCTTAAAAGGGATATGTAGGCATCTGGTCACGGGGCTCAGCCGAGCGAAAATTTGTAAATATTTCCTTCTTTTCCCCGTGTTTTATTTGCATGCATTCCCTCTTAGTTTTTATAGCTCTTGAGCATTAGATTGAACACACCCTTTGAGTAGAACAACAAGAGTGGATCCCGTAGAGTACTACGAATGTGAGGGGTGCTAATATCTTCCCCTCGCGTAATCGACTCCCGTACCCGATCTCTCGGTTACAAGACCTTGATTTCCCACTTTAGGTTTTTCTTTGATGATTTTCCTTTCCCTTTATATGGGATAAATGAATACTCGGTGGCGACTTCATTGATTTTACCGCTACAACCTCCAAGACTGGGGAATCAGAGATTATATTGGTATTCAAGTTATTCAATTTTCTAATGTTGAGACATTTTAGGAATGTTGAGACATTTTAGGAAACCCTTTATTGAAGACCTATTTTCTATGCATAATTTTAGTAGACTCCTTGCTGTGTTTTTGAAGCCTAATCTAGTCCAGATGTGTGCTTTATATAGATTGTCACTAACCTAGCTTTAGGGTTTGCCTGTGTTAATTATGAGCCTATCTAATATCATCTTCAATAAGATTAGGACTGTTCTTTTGAGTTGTAAGTTCTGTCAACCATTCTTAAGCTTCTTAGTATTGAATGATTGTGTGTCTTTGATGTGTGACTTCTGTTATTTTCTAAGTGTTTATAGTTGTTCTTGTCACTGTTTGTGAAAGGGAAGTGAGAGGGGTCTCATACCTAGGTGTGTCTTAGGTAGAAGTGTATAATTGTATTTTTGTTCAGAGATATAACACAATGCTATACTTCTACCTAAGACACACCTAGGTATGAGATTCCTCTCACTTCCCTTCCATTCACAAATAATAACAAGAACAACTCTAAAAATTAGAAAATAACAGAAGTCACACTTCAAAGACACACAACCATTCAATACTTAGAAGCTTAAGAATGATTGACAAAATTTATAACTCAAAAGAACAACCCTACTCTTATATAAAGATGATATTAGATAGGCTCACAATTAACACACACAAACCCTAAAAAATAAAACGTAAGTTCTACACTAAAACTAGGTTAGTAGCAATCTATTTAAAGCACACATCTAAACTGGATTGAGCTTCAAAAATGCAGCAAGGAGTCTGCTAAAGTTTTGCATAGAAAATATGTCTTCAATCAAGGGTTTCCTAAAATGTCTCAACATTCCTAAAATGTCTCAACATTAGAAAACTGAATAACTTGAATACCAACATAATCTCTGATTCCCCAGGCTTGAACGCCACATAGGATTACTTAATATTCACAGAATATTCAGTAATTTAAATCAACTATATCCCAAATCTAAAAATTGTAACAAATCAAATGTCCCACTCTTTTGGTTAGGACATCATATTTGACATGTTGAAACTGCAAGTTAAAACATCTTGCTGCCAAGTTATATACAAATCTTTGCATATTTAGATTCTTTGCAAGTGTACCATTTATCTACCTTTTTTATTTTTATAAAGAGGGAGAAGTATACTCTTAGGGAGATGGTATATATATTTTATCTAACTTAAGGGGAGTTTTTTCACTCCAAATATATCTTGTATATTTTACCACTTCTCTTGAGAGATGCACTGCCATTATAAAAAGGGGGAGAATGTGTGTAATACGGTGGGAGAACTGACTTGGGTGTTTTTCATTTTATGGCAATTATTGCGGATAGCAAGAGTCTCCACTGACTTTTCTTTTATCCAATAAAGGAAGGGGGTGAAAAGAACAGGAAAGACCTTTTGAGAATTTTCTTGAGTTCGGGGGTAGGTTATGAAAAGGGAATGTGTTAGCACCCTTTTCATCCGTAGTTATCTACGTGCTCTTTGTTTCTAGCTCACTTTGAAATGCTTTGTAAATGGTTTTGTGTTTTGTGTAAGTTTGAAAATATTTTGAAAACGCCTTTGTTTCGACAAACTTTGTAATGATTCTCGTTTCGGCGAGAATGTATATAAAGTATTGGTTTTAAAAATAGTTCAAAGAAAATTTTGTTTTTGGAAAGATGTTTTAAAAGTGTGAGTGTGAAAATGGTTTTAGTTTGCAAGCAAGCAACTACGAGTGTTCTACCTACTCAAAAATTCTTAGTTCTTTTCCTCCTTCTTTAGATAGTGTTGTCTTATCATTAGTTAGTAAGAAACCATATCATTGGATGTGAAGGGACGGGCGTGGGTCATTGTACAGTCATATAAGGCAACATTGTAGGATACTTTAGAAATTTGTCATAAGGGTCTAAGATCGCTTACCGAAGGAAACATTGAAGAGTCATCGAGGGACTACGATCTTGTAATCAAGGGTCTTTTCTAAAGTAGCCCACATTCGAGGGACATGATTGTTTTAAATCTGAGGCAACAAGTGTGGGTTATCCTAGAGGTGCAAGTGTGCAAAGTGTTTTGTCTTCATGTTTAATTTGTCTTGAATTATGGTTGTCTATTGTTTGATTTTAAGTCGTTCCATACAAATCCTAATTACTAGCAATAATATGGAAAGCGATAAATTGCGGAAATTTAAAGTCCTATGCTATTACATCATTTTAGGGGATGGGGATACAAATTACAAAAAGGAATGAAAGAAATTAAAACCTAATTACTATTACAACCATATTGAATAATGCCAAATAAAATGTACAAGAATATAAAGATAATGTAAAAGAAAAATGTTTTTTTATGTTTTTTTGTATGAAAAATGTTTTAACCTAATTAATCAAATTGACAAAGAAATTAATAATAATTCTAATGTCTAAATTAAATTAATTTAATTAAGAGAAAGTTAAACCCTAAGTCTAAATTAATTAAGGAAAAAAATTAATTTATTATGAAAATATTTTTTTTTGTCTTTTTATTTAAAGGAAATAAAACCAAAGTGAAAATAAAAATAACAATTTTAGTCTAAATATTTAATAAAAAGATATTTTTGTATTTTTAATTTAAATAATAATAAAAAGAATAATAATAATAATAATAATAATAATAATAATATTTAAAAGAAAATAAAATAAAATAAAAATAAAATATAAATTAAGGGTCAGGGGGTTTGAAAAGTAATTAGGGAGGTTTGATAGTAAAAAGGTTTTTGTTTTGGGCCCAAACAGCCTTTTTGTAA